TAAAATATTTTCTAATTCCTAATTTCAAACATTTTTCTAATCGACAACGTTGACAACGTCGAGCAGATTTAAAATTAACTGAACAATGATTTTCTCCAGTTAAACAACGAAGTTTATTCTTTGAAAAGAAAAAACAAGAAGATTTTCATAAAAAAATTCTTTTTCTTACTGGTTGATATTGTGCATTGCGACGAAAAAAAGCTTTACATGAAGCACATGTAAGAAGATCATAATTAAAACCAATTGCATGATCTCCACAGATGACACAAACAAGATCTGGTGATTTTTTACAAATTTTCGCTATTTTTGATCGACTTGTTTGAGGAGAATCAAGAACTCGTTTGTACATTTGATCATTTTTCGAATTCTATAAATGAAAAAAATAAAAAAAGAATTTGAAGAAAGAAAAGAGAACTAAAATGAATACAAACAAGTTCAGTAAGTTGAGCAAAAGTAAAATCAAGAAAATTGTTATTGTTATTTAAATGAATTACACGAGTATCAGGTGTTTTCTTCGAAGATAATTCATTAATAAGATCTTGATTTGATGTGATTATTAACATTCGACTTTCATGATTCATTTTCTTTGTTTTTAATAAACAAATTTACGGTGAAAACGAAACTTTTCTTTAACAATGTTTTACAACAGATAAAAAAAATAAAATGTGTGTTTTTTTTCTCTTTTTGATTTCAAGATTTTTCTGATAAGAGAAAAACAACGAAAGTCGAGCACATAGAGAAACATACACATGTCAATATTGATATGAGTCAACAGTTACATTTTTTGAAACATCATGTTTCAGTTTTGTATTAGTTTCATCATTGTACTTTAATAAAAGAAAATGTTAATGAGATTTATCGGTAAATGAATGCGTTTTATTTCATAAAAAGAAAGTTTGTTTTTTTTTGTGATTAAATGACAAGACAAAGAAAAATGATGAGAATATTATAAAGAAAAATTACTATCTATCTGATTGTTAATCGTTTAGAAATAAAGAAAACAGTTTGATAGTCTTTAGAAACGATTTTCATCAATAAGAAGAAGAAAAATTTACAAAAGAAATGAGCAAATTCAAGATTTTATCGTTTAGATTTGTTCGATCGTTGTTGATCAGATTTAAATCGTTTAGAATTCATATCAGTACTGTTTCGAGAATAATTATCTGAACGATCACGCTGAAAAAAAGAATTTTCAATAAAAAAAAAAAAAAAACTAAAAGTAAAATTTACTTGAGAAAATGTAAATTGATTGTAATTTGTAGGAAATGATGGAGAATAATGATTTGTTCGAGATGTATTTTCAACTGTTATCAATCCATAATTAATTAATGAACCAATTGATTGAACAATTTCACGTATTTGTGAATCAAGAAAACCAAATGATGTTAAAGAATTCTTTAAAAGAAAAATAATTTCAATTTTTGAGACAAAAAAAAAGATTTTTTTTACAATAAGAGAATCANCGAGTATTTTCATCACCTAAACCAAAATGGAAATTGTGATATTTCGAAAAGAAATTCATTTTCATTTTCAACCTGTAATTGTCATAACTCTTTCTGAAATATCTGATTTAGGTGTAATTGTGAGTGAAGCTGTTGTATCATGTTTTATATTTTCAATAGTTGTTCCTCCTTTTCCAATAATAACTCCAGCAGTTGCATTAGGAATAAGTAATTTGATTTGACGTGAACGAATTACATCACCTGGAAATGTTTCTTTGATTTTCTCAGATAAAAATTCATAAACAGATAAAACATTTGAAATTGTTCCAATGACAAGACAAACACGTTCTTGTGTTCCAGGAAAATAATCCTAAATCAAATTAAAATTTCATTTGAAGAAATAAAACAAATTTTACTCCAGCTTTGGACATTTTCATTTTTGTATTTGTTTCTTTTTGTAATGAAGCGATTCTTTCTCCACCTTTTCCGATAACACTTCCTGTTGTTGTTCCAGGTAGAAGAAATTTTATATGAAGAACATTTTCATATAAACACTCTTTTTCATCATAATCTGGACGATTTGTTTGATGACGTGATGAACTTGATGACGATGACATTTCGATTTTTCTGTTTCCTTTTATTAAAAAAAAAAAGAAGAAGAAAACAAAATGGATATTTCATTGGTTCAAAAGATACGACATGACATGAGAATTTATGAACAACGTATTCCTCTACCAAGTTTTTTTTTTATTCATAGAGGTCGCCATGTATCGCGTTTAGTTCAAATTCAGCAGATATAGTGTCAAATTTGAAAGTTGAATTCAAGCTTCAAGTTATACATGCAGGATTTTTTTAAAGAATCGTTCTCAAATTGTCTATGTTTGCTTTCTTTTAGTTTATACAAGAATTATTTATTCGAGTTGTTGGATGTCTCATTGTCTATCCTTTATCATAAATTGTATCTGATACAGCAAAACTCTTGATGAAGAATGATAACATTTGTGCTTTCAGATTGATCGATAACTAAAAATATTCAACTATAAGAACATATTTAATCGATTTACTTTGACAAAAATCAATAAAATTAATTATTTATAAAAGTCAAAATGATCTGCTTATGTAATTATTTGTTGTATTATTAATGTAATGATGTTTCTCTTTTGATATCGTTTATTTACACAAATATGATCTAAGAAAAAAATTCAGCAAATCTTCATCTTATTTATTTTCAGAAAATTATTCAATATTCTTAGTGAGAAAAATTATTGTCATTTGTTCCCTTTTCATTCGAGATTTGAGAACTAAATACTTTTCATTTTTGTAAATCTTCTGTAGAAAAAACAACTGTTGATTCTCTTATGAGATGAGACAAACTGACAATTTTTGTCCATCAATGAGAAATGTAATAAATATGCACTTAAAGTGCATTTGTTTTTGTTAAAACTAAAGTTTTTTGTCTCATTAAAATATCTTTAAAGATTGATTGATGGCAGATAAATATACTCCGTTGACATAAACAAAGACAAAAAAAATGTTGATTGATTAGAGTAGATCGTGTTTCTGACAAAGCCAAATAGACATTTAGCCTTGTCCAATCCATCAGCAAATATTCTTATAATACAAAACAATATATCATCGTTTTACATACAAAAATTTCTCTTATCCAAACATCTTTTTCATAAATTAAACAAATTCAAGAAATTTTTCTTGAAAAAAAATTAGTAAATTTTCTTGAATTATTTGGACAAAAGAGATTTTTCTCTCATCAAGAATAATCTCTTTCTTTCTTTCTCTCTCTCTCTCTCTTCTTATTTTCATCAATCATCTTCATAAGAAAAACATCATGTCATCTGCCGTACAAAGTAAGACCATTAGTCGAATCTTTTTCTCAACAAAATCTACTCAAGTCAATATTTAGATTCTTTTCCAATGAATATTATTTTCGATATTCCTCCTGAATAACTTGAAAATGGAAAAACATTATTAATTGAAAAACATGATGAAA